TGATCTCAAAATATAGTAGTCGAAACCTGAATGGAAAAGATTTGTACAGCGAATTTTCTACAATATGCAGTTCTATCATTGGCAGCGCATTAAGCTTAGTTTGAATTAATATTCAGCAGACTTATCTAAGTAATTACAAATTGAATATCGTCGTCATAGTAAACTTTAAATGTCGAAACAACGACCTACTTATTTATTTTTTGATCAGAAATTGATGTGATAAAATAACCAAAAGTTTCTAAACTTTCAGTTGCCAGTTCCTAATACTTATCATCGGCTCAGTATTCTGATTTGAACTTCAAAGTAAGCAGTGTTAAATTTTCTGTCCTCGAAGTTTGTGGGTAGCCTGACAGAACCTGACCAAATTTTTTTCCCCTCCCATTCCATTTATTTTACCAACAATTGCAAACGTTAGTTCATCAAAAATTGTCGAACCTGTCATTTTCTATTCTAATGAAGCTTTGTATTATGGAATAGGTATCAATCAAATCCATAAAAATTTAATAATTAATTGGTTGACTGTAAACTTCGTTTGTTTTAGTTCTTTTTAACTTCTTGGCCATTAGAATACTTGTAAATTTATGTATGAGAATATTTTAAACTCAACTTTTTAAAGCAACATATACAGTATGTGTTTGAATGCTTATTTCACTGGGAAAAACTAAACGCAGCTAAATGAATCATTAAAATGCTGGTAACAGGATTTTCTAACATTTTCTAACAATAACAGGATTTTCTCAAACATAAACATCTTCGAACAGTTCTATCCAAAACCCTGCAAAAATAGAATCTAAAATCAATTTATCACGGCAGAAGGTTCCCAAGTACAACGGGACAAGAGGAATTTTAGTAGGCCAATGACTAATAAAAATATTCAAAGTGGACAGTTAGTTTTTAAACTGCAGATGAGAATCTCCATGAAACAGTAAGCAATTACTCAGTTTTGGAATCTGAAAGATTATTGGTGTTCATTTTCGTCAGATGCAACAGATTTTTGATCGTGTTGTGTGATGCTCAACAACAGCAGTATTGGCCGTTCTGCAAAACATATATCTAAATACAGCGTTGCGATGACGTCATTTTGTTTGCATTCGAATGACGAGTTTATTTATTGCAGAAGTTTATCGAGCAAATAATAGCAACAACAATTATTTTTGCAAAACAACTCCAAAAAAAAAAAAAAATTTTTTTTCTTGCAAATAATATTCTTTAATTCTTTTTCTTTAATGTTGTTATAGTTTTTTCCTCGAATAACAAAAAAAACAACAAAAAAAATAAGAAAAGAATTATGAACACCACAGAAAATTTTTTGAATCTAAATATGCTGGACAGCATAAAGATATAACAGTTACAAATAACTGATGGTTTACTAGCAACAGTTATGTGGTATTTTTGTCATCGCTTCACTTGTTGAAAGTATCCAAACAGGTCGACTGCAACTGCTAAAAAAATAACAAAAAAAAAAAAAGCAGTGGCGAAGAAAGTATTGAGTCAGATTTTTTTTTTGACTCAAGTCTAAAACTTTTTTCCAGAAAGCGTTAAAAAGATGAAAAATGAGCTACGTCTTTTTTATTATTAAACAAATTATTTAAATGTTTGTGAAATTTTAGCAGCAGAAACAAAAATAAAAAAAAAA